GTGGACGGGCAGGCGAGATGCGAATTGAGTGGGATCCGGGTGCTGGAGCGCGTTCCTCAACTCACAGCAGGCAGCCAAACATTGCCACGGATCATCGGCTTTCAGCCACCAACGCCTGCCATGAAGACCGTTGTTGGCAGAGTCAAGCACATCGTCCAAATGATCCATGGTGAACTTCTCACGTTCAGAGAGACTTGCCTTGTCGAATCCAGACAGGTTAGCAATCTGAACCTTCAGCCACCTCAGTCCACTCTCTCCAAGCGGCTTGGCTTGGCTGAAGAGCAGCAGACCTCTCGCATTGTCTGCACCCATCTGGTTGAGATAAGGCGGGAGAGGATAGGCACGTCCACGGAAGTCCAAGTTGTGAGGCAGATAGAAGGTCTCATTCCTGTACGCGCGGGCCACCTCCATCTGGAAGTTCTGGAAACAACGCTGGGAGTGGAAACCGGCTCTGCGGTTTTCAATCTCACGCATATCATTGTCCCATTTCTTTTCGGCTTCGTAGCCCTCCTCCGGGGATGGTTTAGGAGGATGAGGCAATTCGGGCTCCAGCGGGGCGAGATCGGCGACGGGTTCTCCAGAGTTCCAAGCTTCAAGCATAACCTTGAAAACATCTTCGTTGATGACCCACCCGGTGTTACCGAGAATATCCAGTCCCTGGCGGATTTGCTCAAGTCCATTGTTCTCCAGTGCTGCCTTGACATAAGCGGGCTGCAATGTCTCACCGGGAGTCGTACGAATCAAGTTGCTCTTGTAAACGTGGTATCCACCATCGGATACACCCTTCCACGGCCTAGGCTTGCTCAACATGGGCAAATGACGGCCCAAGAGATCAGACGTAGGCTCTTTGGTGACGATCTTGACGATTTCAGGGTGCAAATGGATGAAACCAGCACGTCTACCCCAGTTGATTTGATAAGCATGCTGGAAGGCAGGCTGCATAGAAATCTCAGACTTCTTCGTTTCGGGGTTGTCGATTTTCACAGGGGCCTTGGCGACTTCGAAGAGGAAACTCATCAAGGCAGCTCCAACCTTGGCCTTCACACGAGCTGACCAAGCAACAGCAGGGTCATCCTGCTCCAGGTTTCGGACAATGGTGTGCCACTTTGCCCGACCATCCTTTTGTTTGCGAAGGGAGAGGGTTTGCTTAACCGCCTTGAGTCGTGCGGCATCAGCTGCAGATTCTTTCTTGAGGGTGAGCTCAGCGAGGAATTCATCATGAAGTTCGGAGCCGATTCCAGTAGCGATCGAAGCGAGCTTCAGTCCTGAATCCATGCCTCCCCGTCCAAAAGAAGACAAAACGCTCAGGATGGTGAGCGCGGCCAGCTTGTCCGAGTCAACACAACGCAAGAAGACGCCGTATTCGCAACGCTCCGTATCCTCCAACGTCCGAGGGGGCTTGGCCTCCGATTGTTCCACAAGCTTCAGCTCCGCCTCGATTCTGGACACAAGATCGGTGTGCCATTGGTTGATGATACTGCCCAGACGCTTCTCGCTTCCAGTAGTGTTAAGGCCGGCCTTCTGTCGATCAATGGTCTCTTGCCTCCAGCGGTTGAGGGCCGCCTGGATAGAATTGGCTTCCAGCTGTTTTTGTCTGGACAGGTTGTACATTTCTCGAGCCTCCGCATCTGTGTACTCGCCTTCCGCGGGAGCGGACACCTTCGAAGGACCGTTAAAAAGCGAAAGCGATTCCCTCAAAGAAGAGAGACCGAGACCCTTCTGTTCGACGGCTTTGACTTCCGGCAGATCGGCTGCATCCGCGAGGGGATCTTCGGTAACAGCGTTGCTATCCAAGCTGCCCATTGAGACGCGCTGGATATCGGAGGAACAGATCTATTCGACGTTGCTATCAGCAAAGATGATCAAATGTAAATAGTAGACTCAAACTCACCTCTGATAGCTCACCAACTTCCAGTTCAGAGAGAACAGGAGCAGCCAGAACTTCCTCTTCGAGAGATGCATTCTTCGCGAATTCCCAGTATCTGCGCACTGCTCGATCACGCTTGGTACCGTGGAACATCCGCAGGGCCATCCGAATCATCACTGCATAGGTCGTCGCGTCAGGAACCACGCCAGAGGCCGGCAGATCAACCTCGAAGAACTTCTGCATGGGCAAGACAAGGTTGTGCTGCCTCGTCAAGATCATCTGCGAGACCATGCCCTCGAGGTAGCGGTTGTGAAGGGCCAGGTACTTAGGGGAAGCTGGGGGGTAGCATCCTCTAAGCCGGGAAAGAAGAATAGCAGCACGATCGTAGCGGTGAAGTCTCAGTGAAAGGTCGAAGTTTGCCAGCATTTCTTCTTCATCACCACCAAGACCCTTCACTCTCCGCAACACCTTCGGTTTCGTTTGTAGTGCATCATCCACGATGACCAAAGAGGAGGGATCGAATTCATGGGCGAGGGGAGAAAAAAACGAGGACAGGTGGTGATCGAAGTACTGCTCGGGGTTATACGCAGGCGATTCGAAAGATCCATACGACCCTTGGTCAATGGCAGACTGGTCGGCGGCAGTGGCGAGGCTTCGACTCGACTGGAAGGATGGCCGGCGAGGACGTTCCTGGGGAGCATTTGCAACTGTGTTTGTGAGAGCGGAGGGCCGACTCGATTGGGAATGAAGTCTCAGTGTTGCAGGCGAAGGCAACACCGAGCGCCCCTTTGCAAGGCGCAGACGAGTGAAGGCATTTTTCTGAAGAGCAACACGGGACAACATGATACACGAACACCGCTAGACGCGATGATGGACAATTAGAGGTATATCGCTGATTATTTGCAATTATAAAGAAGGGAGATGATTAGATGCAGAACACAACAGGGCGTCTAAAAAACTATAGTAGAGAAAAGGAAATTGGAAATAGATGCAGGATGGATGCAAATGACCCAGATAAAAACCTATCAGATGGTGAACATCTATCCAATCTGACAAGCCGTCCTGCAGCCCTTCAACGACCGAGGAAGGGAACAAAAGAGGGAAAGGAAAGGGAGGATGGGGAGGAGGAGAGAGAAGAGAAAAAGGCGTGAAGGCGAGAACTGCGAAACGGATCTCCAGTCGAGACGGAGACTTCGGCGGACGGAAGTGAAAATTGGTCCACCGCCCCGATTGGGCGATAAGACACGTGAGTGGCACGTGATGTTCTGGAAGATCGTCTGTGTTTTCCCACGCGCTCATTGGCTGGAGGCTTCGTCTGTGTTTTCTTCCATTGATTTCGTCCAGCAGCGATGATCTCAATGGCAAATGGAACAGGCCCACTAAAGCAATGCGTAGAAACTGAGCTGTTCAGGAGCTGCATGCTTCACCATATTCTCCATCGCCAGAGAAAATATGGTTGTCCGACTCCCTTAAAGTCTATTCTCCACCATGCAAACTTAGCCGTGAGGTACTGCCTACAGCTTGTCTACTATGTATACGCCTTTCAATGAGAGCCAGCTTATGTGCAAGTCATTCAGCATTCGTAATTTTGCATATCATATTACCCCCAGCCAATGCAGCTAATCACCCTTCCGTTATCCCCTCAGCAGACTGCTGTTCCTCCCGCTGCTTCATGCGGTTTTGTTTCATAGCCCAGCCCGTCATCTCCGGTCGCGCAGGATCAATCCGCGGCGCACTCATCGTATCCAGATAACTTTCACTATCGATCGCCGACTGCAGCTGCGGCAGACTATCCACGTCCTGGTGCATCATGTAGTTCTCGTACAATTGCCACGACTCCTCAGTCTGCCAGACAAAACACACCCACATTAGCAAGCATTCCCTTAAACCCAAGGAATCAACATCAACCAGTATAACACTCACCTCAGCATCCACCCACTCATAATCCTTCCACTTCTCATCCTGCATCTTCTTCAAAAGATCCAGATTGCCCGCAACCTGCGCCGCCTCACCATCCTCCGCGGCCTTGATCTTAACATCAATAGCCCTAGCCTCGCTCTCACCGGGACGATCCTCCTCGCCCTCCTTCCTCGCCTTCCCCTTACCCTTCGTAGGCATCTCATCCAAAGCATCAAGGTGATGAAGCTGCGGATGTAACTGCACAACAGCCGAAACAGGCGAAAGATGCAACTTGTCTATCCCAAAAAAAACCCCATTAGCCCATACCTCCCCAACTGAAAAAAAAAAAAAGGGATCAACTTACCCCCCCTAAAAGCCGCCAACATATAAACCGGATCGCCATCCTCAGGACTCTTAATCCTCCCACCCAGCGTCTGCACCCTCATCAACGACGCCGTCTCATTCTTCGCATCCGCCGCATCCTCCATCTTCACCTTCGCCGACGCACCACCACCACCAGCACCCCCAGAACTAAACCCACCCGCCATACCAAACGCGCCGCCTTCGCGCGCACTCTTGCTCTTCTTCAATGCATCGCCGTAGCGCAATCCCTTGCTGACATCGTAATTCACGCGTGTATTAATGGGCACGTCGACTTCCACCAGCCCCGTCTTGGGCTTCAGGCGGAAGGAAGTGGGTTTTTGGCCGTGGCGGTCGTCGTAGGCGGAGCCCGTGGGTCGGTCGAGGTATTGTAGGACGTAGCGCGAGATTTCTGAGTCAGTGAGGCAGATGTCGTAGGAGGCGATGACGGGGTCGTCGGTGGGGTCCATGGTGGGTAGGTAGGTTGGGTGGGTGGGCGTTGTTGGGGTGGGTGATTATAAGGACGTGGTCATGGATTGAGGGGTCGTGGGAGACTGATTAGAGGGATTTGGGGGTATAATAAGTGGGAGGAGAGCTTGCAATGGCTGCGTGCTTTGCGGGGTGTTCGGGTTTTTTGTGCAACTTTTTCTTTGCTTTATCGGAGGCGGAGGAGGTTTGATAAGCTGCCCGCTTGCAGAATCTATGTGTTTCACACCGCCTTCTTGTTTGAGGGGTAGATCTATAAGGGAAGAAGCAGACTACAATCGTGTCTAAGAGTAAAGGATCTAGTAGTTTACTGATTGCCAGCTAGTGGCTGTTTCAAGAGTAACAATCGGAAAGTGTACATTTTACAATCACAGCTATGAATGCAGATGCGACAATAATTTGGTCATCAACAGTATGTACAGAACAGCTGTATCGTCGTAAAACTCATAAAACTTCTTGATGTATAACAGTATCACATGAATGCCGACTATCCAGAGGCATTATTTTTGGGATATCTCCATCGTCTACTCCTCATCCTCGTCATCTTCAGCAACCTGTATAATCTGTCAGTAATGCGTCAAATGTAATTGTTTAAAAAGGGTCAACATACTCCTTCGTGGAAGTTCTGTCCGTCGGTGGTCGCCTTGATGACACCAGCACGGATACACCAATCTCCGAATCTCTCGGGAGTCTCGCCATCAGTGTTACGCTCCTGGGAGTAACGCTTGAGAAGACCCTTCATGATATCGAGGATCTCATCCTCCTTGATCGAAGAGCGGTAGAGCTTGTTCAGACGCTGGCCGTGGTAGCCACCACCGAGGTACATGTTGTACGCACCGTAGGCCTTACCAACGAAAGCAACTTCAGCAAGCCAGGGTCTGGCACAGCCGTTGGGGCAACCAGTCATACGCATGACAATGCTGTCGCTGGCCAAACCGACCTCCTCAAGAGTGGACTCCAGCTTGCCGATAAGGACCGGGAGGTAACGCTCGGACTCAGCCATGGCAAGACCACAGGTGGGGAAGGCAACACAAGCAGACGAAGAGAGACGCAAACCGCTGAAGGAGGTGTTGTCGAGCTTGTACTGAGCCATCAGCTCCTTGATGGCAGGAAGGTCTGCATCCTCAATGTTGGACAGGATCAAGTGCTGGTTACCGGTGAGACGGAACTCGCCCTTGTCGAGCTTGGCAAGCTCACGCAGACCAGTGCGCATCTTGAAGTCAGCGGTGTCCTCAATACGTCCGTTCTCGATGAAGAACGTGAAGTGGTTGAGACCCTTCTCGTCCTTCAGCCAGCCGAAGGTATCAACGTTCGAAACGAACTTGAAGGGACGGGGCTCGGCAAAGCGCAGGCCCTCGGGAAGAAGAGCCTCGACCTTCTCCTTGTAGGCATCCACGCCCATGTCGTCGATGGTGTACTTTAGACGAGCGTGCTTGCGGTTCTTGCGGTCACCGTGGTCACGCTGGACGAGCATGATCTTCTCACAGACAATGTGAGCCTGGTCAGCAGGGACGTAACCGAACATGCGTCCCGTCTGGGGGTAGGTCTTCTTGTTGTTGTGAGTAGCACCCATACCACCACCGGCAGTGATGTTGAAACCTTCCAGGTGTCCATCGGCGCCCTTGATGGCGATCAGACCAATATCGTGTGCGTAGACATCGGTATCGTTGTGGGGAGGGATGGCAATGGTGATCTTGAATTTACGGGGAAGGTAAGTGGGACCGTAAAGCGGCTCATGGTCAACAACAGCGTCGCCCGCAACCTGGACCTTCTTGTCGTCCTCATCCTTCAACCAGATCTCATGATACGCAGTAGTCGCGGGAAGCAAGTGATCACTGATCTTCTGGGCGACGGCGTGCGTCTCGCGGTGGAAGTAAGAAAGCTCAGGGAGGGAACTGCACATGACGTTACGGTTGACATCACCGCAAGCAGCAATGGTGGTCATCAGCGACTTGTTGATAGCGCGCATTGCGCCGCGGAGCTTGCGCTTGATAACACCGTGGAACTGGAAGGTCTGTCTGGTAGTCAACTTCATGGTCTCGTTACCATGAGAGCTACTGATGGCATCCATCTGTAGCCACTGGAGGGGAGTGGCCACACCACCGGGCAGTCGACAACGGATCATGAAGCTGTAAGCAGGCTCAAGACCCTGGGCCTTGCGCTCGTCACGGACATCACGGTCATCCTGCATGTAAGTACCGTGGAACTTGGTGAGCTGCTGGTCACTGGCGGAGATAGCACCAGTAGTTTCATCCAGCAGTCCCTCGGCGATGGTACCACGCAGGTAGTTGGACTGGATCTTGATATCCTCGTTGGTCAACGGCGCAGGCTCCTCCGGCAGACCCTCGACCTTGTCAACACCTAGAGCCTGCCAGAGGCGAGGCTCCCACTCGGAGTAGCCAGTCTGGAAGGCATCGGGATCTTGGTCATCACCGAGACCAATGTCGGTCAGCTTGCGTCCACCAAGGAAGGCAATACGAGCATCAAGGTCCTTAGCGGGCTTGTTGTAGTAGATTCTGTCTTCCTTGCGCGGCCAGTAGTGGCTGTCACCAAGACCGAAAACGGAGTAGTTGATGGAAGACAGATCCAAGTCACCGGTGTTCTTCACAAACTCCCACAGGCCACGGCCATTCTGGGGGAATTCACCCTGACCGGCAGTACTGGAGATGAAGACCACGTTTTCTTCAGTGGCGAGGTCATCAAGGGGATAGTCATCCATGGCCATGACCATGGTCTTCAAGCCTCTGGCACGACCGCGGTTGCCGAGGCGCTTCGCCAGAGTCGCGGCATTGCCGTTGTCGGAGGCGAAGAGAATGGTCAGAGGAGCACCGAAGAGACCCTCAAGGAGCTTCTCATAAGAGTCCTTAGCCTGGCGCTTCTGAAGAGAGCGGACCTCAGTTCCGTACGACTCAGAAAGCACAGCTGAGTACTTGGGGTGACGGTTCATGAGCTGGGTAAGCTGGTTGTCCCTGCGAAGGAACTCTTCAAGCTCGCGCCTGATCCGGTCCGAGTCCAGAGAGAACTTAGGTTCATCGTTCTCATCGTTTCCGGGGTTCCAGCGGTACAGCGGCCAGTAACCAAGGTCAATAGCCTTCTTGGTCTCCTGGAGTACAGTCAAGGCAGAGTCATTCTCCTGGTTGTAGGGGAGGTAGGCAACAACAACGGAGGGACCCTTGAACTGCTCGGCCTCGGCCATAGCTTGAAGAACCTGGGTGTACGAGCCGTAGACGGCGACGGAAGCAACATAGGCGTTGCCAAAGTTCATGGCATAAAGACCAATGTCCTTCTTTCTGCGAGTGGGGTCCGCGGCGGTGCGTTCGGAGTAGGGCTGCGAATCAATGACGAGCATGTTGACGTTGGCTCCGGAGGCAAGGACGTGATGAACACCGGAGTTGCCGAGATCATAAGCCCAGGCGTCAGAGCCGATGAGCCACAGGGACTCATCGTAGAAGAGCTTCTTGGACTGCAGGAGCTGTCTGGCAAGCTGAGAACCGTCGTTGGAGAGGCGGGCAATGACATCGGGTGCCAGCTTGTTGGCCTTGGAGGCATCTGCAACACTGAGGGCCCAGTTGGAGAGCCATGTCCGGGGGATATCAGTGGCGAAGCTGGTGGACTTGGAGGCCTCCTCGACTTCGCGGATAAAGCGCTGGCGGTGTTCCAGCCTGGCGGTCAGCGCACCAAATCCGTACTCAGGGCTGGCAGCAATGGTGGAGGAGATTCCGGCGTGCTTCGAGCCCAGCTGGTTGGCGATGTGCAGGCGTTCACCGAAGAGCTGGTTGAGAATCTTAAGGTAGGCGTTCTCAACGTGGGGCTGCTCGAGAGAAGTCTCAATGGACGGGACCTTGGAAGTTCCGATCTCAAGGTTCTGAATGGGGGAGGGGGAGCTCAGGTTCTGCACAATGCCACGAAGAGCCTGGACGGCAGTGGAGGGCTCAACGTATCCCAGTCTGTATCCCACAACTTTGGGAGCGGCCCGACCAGCAGCCGGGGAGAGACTGGAAAGAAGATCCATGAACGCCGGTCCCCACTTCGTAGTCTTGCGGACCTGCTCCAGCACGGCGATCTTCTCAATCGAGCTAGGAATAGATTCAACAATCTGGCCTCCAACCCAGGGGCGGTACAACCGCGCAGTGATCAAGCCAACATTTCCAAGCTCACTGGAAGCCTCCTCCTTGCCCAGAACGTCGACAAACACGCCAGTCGAGCCGAAGACGAAGATGGCCGACTTGGCATCGGAGGGACCAGTGTACTCAATCGCGCGGTAGTTGCGTCCGGTGGTCTCAGACAACACATTCCATATTTGAGAGGTCCATTCGAAAATGTCTGTAGCACTGACGGGCCGAGTGGCCGAGGCGTCGATGGTGGTGGCAGCGGAGCTAGTCGCACGGCTATCGACACTGCTGTCCCTCTGAGAAGAGCCGACAGACGAAGTGTCAACACTGACATTGGAAGGAGTCTGAGTGGTCTGAGCAGGGGTGGAAGAACCCTCGACCTGGCTGGTGGCGGTGTCCACATCCTCAGTCACTGTAGCGACCCGTCCGGAGTCAGTGTACAGCGTCTGGGCACCCAGACCAGAGGTATGTGTCACAGAGCTTCCGCCCAAGTTGAGGACAGACCGAAGGACCTCAACGTCTTCCTCAGCAATGGCGTCATCGCGAGCGGAGTTGGCAGGGTCGAAGAAGTGGATGACACCCTTGCCGGACTTGCGGGACAACGCATGAGCGGTGATAGCGATATCCTGGGCCTCCTGGAGCGTCTCAGAGTGCAGGAAAGTGAACCCGCATTGCCTGATAGAGCTGATCACGGAGTAATCTGGGAAGGGGTAGGGCTCCAGAGCGACATGGATGACGACAGGGGTGTTCGCCAGGCGGTAGAGGTGAGGGATAGAGGAGAGCAAGGTGGAGGAGGTGGTCACGACAGACACAGTGTTTCCAGTCTGCAGAGGGTGGAAAGCGGAGAGGAGGGGGTCTTCGTTATAGCGAACAGCCACAACCTGTGCAGAGTGTTAGATCTGCCTTCATATAGTCCTTATGAACAGTGTGACTCACGTCAGTGACACCGCGGGGCAGAATGCTACGAGCATTGCTGGCCTTCAGGGTCTTGAGAGTCTTGGAGAACCAGGAATCGGCCTGCAATGACGGCTGAACGGAGAGAACGACATCGCTGGCCAAGTAAGCGACTCTCGCCACTGGAAGCATCGGAAGAATGGTTAGCACTCAGATCGGACCATGAATGATTCCTTTGAATGATAGAGTTCCAATCACACAAAGAGAGGAACCAGAGGAACAGCATACCTGCTTCACCCGCAGTCGAAACGGATGCCATATTGACAATTGCTAGCTGCGCAGCGTAAAGCGCAGGAAGTGGGATGGCAGAGAGAATTGGATATCACCGCATACGGTGACTCCCCACTCAATTCGAGATCAATAAATGAGGATAATGGGGTAGAAGAAAGAGGAGGAAAAAGAAGAGGAGAAGTGGAATGACTCCAGGTAAAGACAGGGGAAATTTTAGCTTCACACTCAGCCCGTCTTTCCCTAATTTTTCTACAAAACTCCGTGCAGCGACGAGCAATGGTTCTGCTCCTCATAGACTTTTGGGGCCCTTCTCCGCCATCGGGGTTGGATTAGCCCGACGCTGATTGGATTGCGATCACGACATCGATGCAAACAGCCGCTGAACGGTCTTGCAAACATCCCCGATCAGGTCAAGTGCGGGGGCCTCGTGACTGGTCCTCGAGCACGTCACCCCGTTGATGCCTCGTACATCAGGCAGTTATCGGCTTTTGCTCTGAATGCCGGCGGATTTCAAAGCACGAACTACTTACTAGTACAACTACTAGTAACTACAACAACATCAGAATGATTCACACAGACTTGAGTTAACCTCATTGTATTGAATTTGCTCTCATAAAATCTATTTTTTTATACTATAAAGAACATTACAGTTACTAGTATAAACATTGGTGCCTTTATCTACTAGTAATGCCTAAATTTTCATGCCGATATTACCCTGCTCATAGTGGTCGGATATATATTCAGAATTCATGAACCCATACACCGGTTTTATTGACAACCACTAGTAAGATATTATATTATAACTTTTCAATGTACTCCGGGCGTTCTACTAGTAGATTAGTGTACTACCATGCAATTACATCGGGATTTCTCGCGGGCTTTGCTGGGCTTCGCTCCAGACATGCAACTGACATCATCCTTTCTCGGGCGAGACAGCATCGGAGATAACTCGGATCAGACACTAGATGTATAGTAGATAATTATACAGCACGACACCATCCGATCTTATGAAAACCAAGCCACAATTTATTGCCAGTGACAGCTGACGAATCAAGATTGGCGAGGGGTATCTATTTCTTGCACATAAAATAATATGACGCTGTTCTCGGGCGCCCAAGTATGATGGGGGAAGAAATATATGCAAATCCCTAGCATGATGCGACAAAAATGTACCCTGAAAACAAGATAACGCCTCGAACGAACCATCCCTATGTCGATACAAATATACAGGTCCGAGACGCCAAGTCCATGTCGGCCGTGACGACAAACCTCCTCAAAAGCCAATATATGTTCATCCTTCCAGCTATGATGCCGCCTGGTAGCCCGCGCCTTTCGCGCGCGCGACTATTTGGGATGGATGTCGTTTCAATATCACACCATCGCTGCACAAGCCAGGACCGAAGAAGCGCGGTACCGTCCTCCCTTATTCCTCTATGTCTCCCATTGTCCCGATTCATAAACAGTGTATGTAGATCATTTCGGCATATATAATAACAGGTTTGAAAGGAAAACCACGCAACGTGGGTGGACACAAAGGGGGAGGCTATGGAGTTGTGAGCCCTCCATAGTAGAGTGTGGCATCGTCATCAAGAACCAAGCTCTCGCTCTGTCATTCTGTGCGATACGGCAGACGGTGACTGATCATGTCCGCCGGGATGCGCCCTTGAGCCCCTTGGTAGTTTTGAAATGTATTACCGGATCAGAGACCGAGGATCTTCAATTGAAGTTCCAATGCAAGACGATCGCAGAATTACCTGCTCTCGGTCCAACCGTTCATCTTGACGTTCATTCCTGGGACCTGTTCATGGATCGGTTGTTGTAAGGCTACAGCCTGAAAAGCGGACTGAGAGGGTTGGGGAGGTCCGGTTCCCGAGCGACGTCTTCTCTCCCGCTCGAGAGGGCCAGGAAGTTCGGTGTCTTCCGCACGAGCGCGGAAACGGCGGCCAAGGGTGGCCATCCAGTTTCCGCCTTCTTCATCCTCGCCGAGCCAGTAGTTGCGACCGATGCTGATCATGATGCGCCCGAGCTTTCCTTGCCAACCTTGGCCATCAGGGCTATACGGGGAGAAAGGCTCCCGGTCAATGTCCGCAATACTGGCGACGCTTGCGATGGAGGTATTACGGCTGTGGGTTGGGAGCTGGGTGTGGCGAGGGACGGCGACGTAGAGACGGAGGGCCTGACGAGCAAAAGCGAGCATGACGAAAACGAAGTAGATGCGAATAACCCAGAGGCAGCAAATGACAAAGATGCTTTGGAAGCTTTCGGGCTGTGCCACAGCGTTTCCGAGAGCATCCGGTCTCCTAGCGTAGTGATCGGTCTCTGTTTTGGTGGTGTCGTACTTGGGGCTAGTGAAGCCAGCGGTCTGGGCGATGGTCTCACCACCCGGTCCCGAGGCGCTGCCGTTGTCGTAATGCTGAGACACGACTAGGAACCAGGTCACACCGAAAGCTGCAGTATAAGCGGCATTGATCAGGCTGTCGAAGACATAGAGCCAAGCGAGCGCGAGGCATTGTAGTGGCGTTTGTTTCCGGATGTGCGGGAAAAGTAAAGCTGTGAGGCCGAGCGCGAGGAGGGAGTAAATGTACATGGACAGCTGCACCGGAGAGAGGTGGTAACCGGTCAACAGGGCGAGCAAGCCATAGAGTCCGCTAATTTTGTTGAGGAGTAAGGAGAGAGTGATCAAGGAAGCTCCGGTTTGAAGGCTCATAACATAGAGGAAGGTCTGTGTGAAGGTCACCGGAAAGCCGGGATGCGATGGTTAGCCTCATTACAGCGCGCGACCGGGCAACGGGGTCCAAACAGGGTCTGGGTTCCCATCCTAATTTTTTCATTTAAACGCCGGGGGTTGTGTAATTTTAAAACATACCTCTGGCCGCGGGATGCGGAAGAGACGGGTTGATAAACCCATGATTGATATCGCCGAGGAGAGATATCAGAGTTAAGGGAATGTTATGTAGGAGAGGGGGGGAGATATGAGGGTTGTTGGTGGTGGTGGTGGAAGGTGGAAGGAAGGGAGCGACAGAAAGAGGAAAAGGAATGGAAGGGCTGGCGGGAAGAGCGAGATTGAAAGGACTAAAGAGGACGCAGCAGGGCGTGTTTAAGTGACGCTGGCGCCCAATTGCGGGTTTCACAGGGGCACGATTTTCCGGGCGATCCGCCCGCCGATCGATGCCCTTTTCTTGCTTGTGTTGCTTGCAACAGACCCTGTGGTCACCGCCAATGCGCTGCCCCATGACGTTGTTTGTTGGCTGTAACAACAACAGCACCAGAAAGCTACATACATCCTACCCCTGTTATACTGACTATATTATAATGCTGCGATCGAACCGTATTGACATCCGAATCAAACAATTCTGTGTTCGATGGTGGCCCTAGTTCTACACTACCTCTTTCGCCCCCCCCGTCTGGATGGATCCCCTGCCGACTAGGAGGTACTAGACTGTGCATGTCGTACGTACATACTCTGCTTGACCTATGCTTGCCAAGACATAATACGAGTACGAGCAATGCTACTGCCTGTTGGCCTGCTTACTATCGAACCCACCATTATGCATGAATTCCTCTCTCAGGGGCTGATCTTGAAAGGGGTTTCCCCATTATGTTGTTGATTTTTCTCCGACAAGACTAGTCAGATCGCCGGGATGAGCGGTTGACACGATAACCTAATCGACACTTACCCCCCCCGTTGATCATACGACGAAGAACCACAGCACTTGGTAGAGCCACCGATCCCAACAATAGCTTATGCCACCCATGACTTGGCCACTGCAACATGAACGCCATCTGGAGTAGTGGTATTTCTAACAAATCGCAGCAGTAGCATCATCATTATCATCCATGATGCTCCCGGAGCAAGCGACACAGACAAGAAAACAGCACAAAAGTCGGGAAACCGCGGGGAAATGCAATATGATGTCAATGCACAAGCCGAACGCCTGGGTCTCCCGTCAAAAGTCGGAGTTCAAGGTAAGGTTTCAGGAAGCGCAAGAGAAGACGCATTCAACAGAAAAAAGAAAAGCTCAAGCTTGATCTAAACACGCTATTCACCTGGAACATAAAGGGAGAAAAATGTACATCTTAAAAATGAAGAGCATTATGGACAATCTCAAGCCTCATCATTGAGATTCAGGCACAGATAGAGAGGGATCGCAAGTAGTAGGGAGTATGGCCGGGGTAGAACGAATTAGAGAGTACAACATCTAGCAGGCGCATCCGTCGTTGGTCGTGGTCTCTTTCGGGGTGATGTTGACATCGATCACTGTCAAAGCCGTCAGTATTCATTCCGTGTAACTCAAGCCATGGGTGGGGAAAGGGTAACGCACTTTGGTTGTCTCCCCGGTTGGCTTCACCCTCCATGCCGGGTAGGGCTTGCGCAATTCTCCTGAAAAGCTGCTTCACATTGTGACCAACTTTAGCACTGGTCTCAATGAACATCAAGCCGTTCTTCTTGGCCTCCTCCTCGCCCTGCGCCGTCGTGACCTCGCGCTTGTCATTCAAATCGGTCTTGTTGCCCACCAGAACGATGATCACATCGTTACCGCGTTCCCCACGTACATCGTCGATCCATTTGCGTGTGTTCTGGAAGGACTTGGCGTTGGAGATATCGTAGACCACCACCGCGACGCTCGAGTCACGGATGTAGGAAGGAATCAAGGATCGGAAACGCTCTTGACCGGCTGTGTCCCAAAGTTGAAGGCGAACAGTTCTATCTTCCAAGTACATAGTCTAGGATGGGCAATGCGAATCAGCTTCCTGCAGTAGCGCGAGTGTATGGGGAACCATGAGACCGGGTGAGAATGGCTCGGGTGAGGGCCTGCTAATGTAGGGGAAGCAGTCGACTAGGCGTAGTATACCTTTGACAGGAAATCGATTCCAATGGTAGCTTGGTACGTGTTGTCAAACGAGTCGTACATGAACCGTGTGATCAGGGAAGTTTTTCCAACTGTGAGGAAGATGTCAGAGACCGGGTGGCGCCAATGGTTGGAGTATTGTCGCAGAAGATATCCGTACCACTCTGCTCGCCCAAGAAAACCAGCCTGCAATTCGATTAGCCGCACATTCACGAAAGCTGGAAGGTATACTACAGGCGGGACATACTTGAACTTCTTCAAAGGGTTCGAATACGACCCTACCCCGGAGGTGGATGCCATGACTGCAGATGTTCTGATAGTAGGAGTGGTGGCGGAATCAGGGGTAGCGGAGGCACGTCGCAAAGTCAACAAGTGTTAAGGCGGTGGACAACGGTCAGGTGGGAGGAGGGCACTAGGGATACAAGGACATATATTGGGGTGGAAGTATATCTGGGGGAGAGACGAGAGGTGCGAAAAGCGATCGTATATATCGGGGAGCAGAGAGGTTCAGCAAGACGACGACGACGATGACTGGAGGAGAGCTCGACCCATGGATCGGTCCGGGGAACTTGGACAGTATTATGTACTCCGTATTTGTATTAAACTGGGATGATGGACTGACAAGCACACGCCCGCGGATTAATCGGCGGCCCGACCTCCACCTCCCGCTGTACTTGCGGCT